ACAAAATAAACAAACAAGAAATCTCCTCTGTATATTGTTCCAAGAACTCTATCTTCGACATCTGACTTTATCTCAATTTCTGATTTATGTCCGGCCGGTTTTTGACATTCTTCGCGCGATGAGCGTAGTCCAATGTTGACATCGTTTCATCAATGTTAACACTCGCCGTTGATATCATTGTAATTATGGAAGTCTTCGTCCGACCACCCAACGACTCTTGCAATAAACTCGTTAATTGCGATTTTCTGCAAATGAATAATAAGAATAGATATTAAGCTAACAAATACGAATACAAAGCCGAATAAAACTCAGAAATATAAAAGAACATTATACATATGCATCCGGCTCCCGGTTCTGGACGGCACCACGACCCCGGCCACGTCCCCGGCCACGTCCCCGACGCCGGGTTTGCTCCGCAAAGACTGGCAGCATCAAGTCGCGGAACATGAGAAACATATTTCTGTAGTACTCCCTTTGCTGGCGATAATTTGGTCGCCACTGCCACATCCGCCGTGAACGCCCCGCGTTTGTACCGCGTCGATCTAAACACAATGAAATGCTAAATTAATACTTTATTATAAAACATACTGGCATAAACAGAAAAAAAAAAATATGTTACTGTTACATTAAATATGTCTAATTGCCGATTATTATACATAACCATTAATTTATTTTACATTTACCGTAACATATTTTTTATTATTATATGGTATGTACTTACGCGGTTTGGTAGATGAGTTGTCTGACATGGCGGCGGACGTGCTGTCCGGGGTCGTGGTGGCGGCGGTGGCGACGGCAGCGGGGGTCCTGGTGGCGGCTGCAGCGGCGGCGGGGATTCTGGTGGCGGCGGTACCGGTGGTGGCAGCGGTACCGGTGGTGGCGTCGGATAACCCTGTCAATGTATATTGTAACAGAGAGCATTATGAAAGGTTTATGAGCATAGAAAATTGAAGACCAGAGAATGTTTGGACTCTGAGATAAGCGCTGACAACTTTGTTTATACCCATAAGGGGAGACACAAA